AGTTGCAGTACGCAGATTTGGTCGCTACATGCGTGAGCTTTCCCACAAAACTCAAGCTGCTGCAGCAGTAGCCTCGTCCATTGCTGAGGTTTGTCACTCTTCTTATAATAGTTAGTAGTTTCTACACAAAGTATGGTTACGTTAACTGGTTCTGTTAATATTCCTTCCTGCATGTTAAAGAAACTGTTGTATTCTAGTTAAAGTTTTTGGGAAGTAAACTTTCCAAATTTGCATTGACAGAGTGATCGTTGTTTGGAATCCTAGCAATGAACCACTGTAGTTCAAAAGAAATTTATAGAAACTAAATAATACATCCTCTGAAAGTGAATGTTCGCATGGAGTTTTTCATTTGAACTAGTTCTAAAGTAGTTCATAAATGTGCCGACACTTGATCGCCATCCAAGAGAAGTCGTGTTGTTTATACTCTCCTGAAGCAGTGTGATAACTATCAACGACGAAATGATACTACAAAGTCTTGTTACTTAATTCTGTTGAGTTAAAGTTGCTGCTGGGGTCTTTTTTCAGTGTTTTGTGAATATTCACATTGCTGGGAAGTACATGTTTGTTGGTAGTTACTATGTATCCTTTAATTTTTTTCAAAAATATTGATTCTTTACCACCTCACTTTTTTTTCTTAGTATCTCAATGTTCTAAGCAACATAATATCCTAGAGTTTTATCAATTGTGAGAATTTTTTCTCATGTAATCAAGGTTAAATTTGTGTTTAGGAAACTTTTGGCGCCATACGGACAGTGAGATCATTTGCGCAGGAAGATTATGAGATTTCACGCTATTCGGAGAAAGTTGACGAGACCTTAAATCTTGGGCTTGGACAAGCTGTGAGTTGCTTAATTTTTCCACCACTGACAAGAAAAGAAGGGAGAGAGAGTGTGTATGTGTGTGAGAGAGAGATGGCAAGAGGATGACAAGGAAAACCTGATATCTTGTGTTTTCTTCTGCAGAAAGTGGTTGGCCTTTTCTCTGGAAGCTTAAGTGCTGCATCTACTCTATCAGTTATTGTAGTAGTAATATATGGAGCCACTCTGACTATCCAAGGCGCGATGACACCTGGAGCTCTTACATCCTTTATACTCTATAGCTTAACAGGTGACTTCCGCACTAGTTTTGTCTTTTAATGAATGTCCGAAGTGAAATCTACCTTTGATGCCCCATAACTTATGTAATATTTTAGCATTTATTAATTTCTTTCTTAGATCCTTTGTCCATGTAAACAATTGTACATTTTTACAGTTGGATCATCCGTATCTGGACTTTCTGGATTATATACTGTAGCAATGAAAGCTGCTGGAGCCAGCAGACGGGTTTTTCAGATCTTGGATCGCACATCATCCATGCCAAAATCAGGAGACCTATGTCCAATGGGGTCTGTTCCTTTATTCTCCTAATCAAACAGATTGTTGTTCAATACCTCTTTACAGCTGAAAGATTACAGCTTCGTAAGGAATGTAGCATACACAATAATTAGCTTCATAGGAAGACAATTTATGAACAGATGCTTGATAGCTCATCTGGTAATATGCAACAGGTGACCAATATGAAAAGGCCTTTTAATTTTTCAGGATTAGAAGTTGTCTATAATGAAATATCCAGCTGTCTTAGAAATAAAAGCATGCATTTTGATGGTGTTTTCATTTGTTCATTCTAGCATTGTAAATGCAAATTCATTTCTTTTGATGTTTGCTAAAAGCTGACCTGTCCTGCTGCATCATGTTGTTCTCGTATCCTCAATTCTGACATGCATCCATGCACTTCCTCGTTACAATATATTTTGTTCCATCATATCAGAACTTTCAGCATGAAGTAAACCTCTCTGATTCTCATCATCAGAGTCAAAATTGTGACTATCATATTCAGATTGTGCTTCTATAGCCAGTCACATCCCACAAGATTAAAACAAGTGATGGTTGCTTTTGTTACAGTGATCAAGCTGCAGAGGTAGAACTGGATGATGTCTGGTTTGCCTATCCATCCCGTCCTAGCCACATGGTCCTCAAGGTGAGGAACATATCCTCTTATCTTGTACCTACACGAAAAATGGTTGTTGACAGAAAAGGGAAAACCTTCTGTTGATTCAGGGTATAACAATGAAGCTACAATCTGGTTCAAAGGTTGCACTGGTTGGTCCAAGTGGTGGTGGAAAGGTAAGACTTCGTGTCATTAAAGTTCCATTTAAGTTTCGGTAGTTTGTAAAAAGAGGCGGAACTCATGAATTCTTTGCTGCAGACTACAATAGCAAATTTGATAGAGAGATTCTATGATCCTGTTAAAGGGAAGATCTTGCTCAATGGGGTTTCTCTGGTTGAAATATCTCATAAGCACCTACACCATAAGGTAATACTGGAACTAATATGAAGTTCTTGTAGCTAATATTCACCATACCATTCTTCAGCATGTCCATACCTAAAGGCTCCCTTTCCCCCCTCTTAAAGTTAGAAATGACTGTGTTTCAGCTTTCACAAGTTATAGATTCCTAAGGTACTTACTTCTTCTGAAAAATTTCAGGTTAGTATAGTGAGCCAGGAACCTGTTCTTTTCAACTGTTCCATTGAAGAAAATATTGCCTATGGATTGGGCGGCAAAGCAAGCAGTGAAGATATAGAAAAAGCAGCTGTAAGTTTCAATGCCATTAATGTCTTAATTAAAATCTTCTGCAAATAAGTAACTGTTATCGCATTTCTGTTTGAACAGAAAATGGCCAATGCTCATGAATTTGTATCCAAATTTCCCGAAAAATATCAAACCCATGTCGGAGAACGAGGATTAAGACTTTCTGGTGGTCAGAAACAGAGAATAGCCATAGCTAGAGCACTACTGATGAACCCTACAATTTTATTGTTGGACGAGGCCACGAGTGCTCTGGATGCTGAAAGTGAATATCTAGTTCAGGTCTGGTCTGCTTTTAATTTGATGATTGTTCAACTAAACGGAAATGAGATATCTTGTATAAATGTGTGTACATGCTATGCAGGATGCCATGGATTCCCTGATGCAAGGTAGAACCGTTCTTGTCATAGCTCACAGGCTTTCAACAGTCAAGAGCGCGAACACTGTAGCTGTTATTTCGGATGGTCAAATAGTGGAAAGTGGCACACATGATGACCTTCTGAACAAGAATGGGATCTATACAGCACTTGTGAGGAGGCAGTTGCAGGGATACAAATCTGATAGCTAATTTTTATCTTTGTTCAAAAACACCTGAGAAACTAAGTTAGCAAACCACAAATGTTCAATGTACTTGTATTATTATTATTCACATATAGAAAGTGTAAAAATAAGGAACAGCCATCATCATTCCTCCATAAATGACAGATTTTGTGACAGTAGTTCGATATCCTATCATGCATGTGCCACTTAAACGTAGTGATTTTGTTTTTATAAAAATTAATATAACCTAAACTTGACTAAAAAATTTATCACTGCTTAATCATATTTTGAACTACACACAATATTGATTAATTAGTCTACGTCATGACGTTTAAGTTTAGAGATTATAAACAAAATAATGCATTGTGCAATTAATAATTTGTTCTAAACTTGACTTAAATGTTCTTTATGACAATTGCCCTAGGTTTAACTTAATAGTATACCATCATTGTTCAATTGTATCTTAAAATTAAACTAATAAATGAGATATTGATTAGCTTATGTCACGACATTTAAATGTGGAGAACATAAATAAATTATTTACTATGCGAGAAGTAATATATATTAACTTACTTCACGATATTAATGTAGAGATTATAAACAAACTATTTATTGCATGAGAAGTAATTTGTCCTAGATTTAACTTTAAAAGTTCTTTATCATAGTTGCTTAATCATATTTTGAACTTAGCAAAATGTTAGCTTAGTTTACACCAAGACTCTTAAATTAATGTAGAAATTATGGATAAATTATTTTGTTGTGCGAGAAGTGATTTATTTTAAATTTGATTTTAAAAGTTTATTATAATCGTTGCTTAATCATATTTTAAACTAAAAAAAAATATTGATTAGTTTACACGGCAATAATGTAGAGATTATTAATAAATTATATACCATGTGAGAAGTAAATTTATCTTAAAGTTGACTTTAAGGCTCGTTGCTTCATCATGTTTTAAACTAAACAAAATATTAATCAATGTACATCCCAATATTATAATATACTAATTATAAACAAACTATTTATCATCTGAGAAAGAATAGTTCCTAAAATAAAAGAGTAAGCTAGTGGTTAATATATTAGGTGACAACAGTGAAGTCTTACGTTGAAATGCCATTAGATAGTCATCTAGTACTTGTTGTTGATGGGAGATGACAATTATCTTGTCAATCAAATTTTCATTTTTCTCCATCTATCACATAGTTTCCATTCACCTGAAAACTGCTTGACAAATTCTTTTCGTTGCTTTTACCGTACTTTCCTTCTTTTATTAACAAATTGTCACCTATTAATACAACGTCAATATTATTTCATTCCAAATTCAGAGCAATACCTATTGTATCCTCTTTAAATTCTACTCATTCACTCGCTATTACTTCATTGAGATTGTGAATACAAATACAATATTTACAATTTTTACTTCTCTATTATATTGTTCAATATGTACACAAATAATATTATTAATGTCGTCAATTCGAATAGATATCATGGTATCTTCTTTATTTTTTTCCAAAGAAAATAGTATTACTTTCAATAGTTAGACTAATAAATTACTTCTATCGTTGTTTCCAACATGCTAATATTAAAGACAAGTGATACGTAATTGTAACTCGTTCTTTAAACAACGGTTTACAGTTTCTAAAGCTCCTCATAAAATTTGTTGGAAAATCTATTGCCGATGAAAAATGACAGTTATCTAGACGCGAGATGATCCTAATCTCACCGTTAATATTATAAATAAATAAAAAAAAGCTCATAAGAATACACAATATGGCTCTCATATATAACTTCTCTTTATTAAACAATAGTCCCCAAAGTTAAGTATAATTTCTGCTCCTAGTACAGTGTCCGGGGACTATGACACTTGTTTGACGACCGTTTCTATTTTGCCTATTGCTGCATGTCATACAAATTACATTAAATCTCAGAAATTGGGCGATGAAACCAATTATTTTTAGTCAAAAATTAGCGTTACAAATACTCTCTTTATCATCTACTTTGCTGCACATTTTGTTTTCTTGAATTTTCGGTTTTTGATTTGATTACTGTGTTTCAGTTAACTTGTTAATCATGAGATGGGAAAGGGTGTCTGTACATGGAGGTGGTGGGCCTGGTAAAAAGTGGGGACACACCTGTAGCGCTGTCGTAGGAGGTAGACTTCTCTATGTCTTTGGTGGTTTTGGTGATGATAACAGGCATACTAATAAAGTTCACGTCTTTGACAATGGTGCGTTGTTTTTCTTGCGTTTTTGTATTCTTGTTCCTTGATTTTTCTTGAATTTCTTGTGTCAATTCTTGTTTTCTTGGGGCATTTATATGTTTGCTTCTTTAGGGTTTTCTTGTATGAATTTTTGTTTTCAAGATTTTGGGGTTTATGTTCTTGATGGTTTACAATTTCAGTGGTAGTTCTTGAAAGGGTTTCAAGAATTTCACATTTCTATTGCTTTCAATGATCAATGTGTGTTTTGAGTTCGTTTAGTTCTTGTTACTGATCTTCCTTTTGAACATTTGGGGTTTATGTTCTTTTGATGGTTTACAATTTCAGTGGTAGTTCTTGAAAGGGTTTCAAGAATTTCACATGTCCATTGCTTTCAATGATCAATGTGTTTTTTGAGTTCGTTTTGTTCTTGTTACTGATCTTCGTTTTGAAGATTTTGGGGTTTATGTTCTTGATGGTTCACATTTTCAGTGGTAGTTCATGAAAGGGTTTCAAGAATTTCACATTCCCATTGCTTTCAGTGATCAATGTGTGTTCTAGTTCGTTTAGTTCTTGTTACTGATCTTCGTTTTGAAGATTTTGGGGTTTATGTTCTTGATGGTTTGCAATTTCAGTGGTAGCACTTGAAAGGATTTCAAGAATTTCATATTCCCATTGCTGTTAATGATCAATGTGTGTATTGAGTTTGTTTAGTTCTTGCTACTGATCTTACTCATATTAACTTGAGGATACATATATATATGCAAGTTTTGTTGCATCAGTGATCGGAGAGAGGCTTTATAAATCTTAACTTACATTGTTCCGTTATTTTCAGTTAATAGAATTTGGAGTGAGCCAGTGACAAAGGGAACTTTGCCTTCACCAAGGGACAGCCACAGTTGTACAGCAGTTGGAGATAATTTGTTTGTGTTCGGGGGCACAAATGGGACAAATTCTCTTAACGATTTATACATTTTGGACACCTGTTAGTGCTTTTGATCTTAAGGATCTCTTTTGTTGCTTAATCTTTTAATAGTTGCATCTGTTGTATGTGTAAGCTAAATTAAAATTTTCAAATATTTCGAGGACAAACCCTTTAGAAATTACTTTTGTTGCTGCTTTGGCTGCATTCCTCTTTGTTGTTGTGTAGTAGAAATGTGGAGAAAAACAAAACAACTTTGTAAAAAAGAAAACCCATGAGATGCAGTGGCTACTAGGAAGTTATGCTGCACTATGTTCTAAGGGACCATCAATACTCCGGGTTTAGATCCAAGATAATTCTTTATTCCATAGATCAGGGGCTATTTATAAGATTTAGGGTGGTCTTTCATATCAGAAACAATAAAAAAGTTTCAAGATAACATGTTATTTATAAATGTGCAATGTTTTTCAGAGAGAGGATACCATGAAATGAAAAATGTTCTGTTCTTTCTCTTTGTTTGCATGTTGAAATTTAGCAGATATAAGGAATTCTATCAGTTGTTCCCAATGATTTACTCACTACCTAACAATTTGATGAATCTACATCCTTTTAGCTTCGAATACATGGATAGCACCCAGTCTAAGAGGTGATCCCCCTAATCCAAGGGAAGGCCACAGTGCAGCACTCATTGGTAAACGGCTTTTCATATTTGGCGGATGTGGCAACATTGATGGCACTGAAATATTCTATGATGACGTTTACGTACTGAATACAGGTTTGTCTCTGCGTATGTATTTTATTAAGGTGGTTAATGGTAGACTGCACTTGGCTAGTATGGTATGTGCAAGTATGGAGAACTTTTTCATTATGACTTGTGCATAACAACATGATGGTGTGAGCAACTTTTAAAACATAACTACTGAAGAAAATATGAGGGCATTGGGGATAGTGGGAATACAATTCTAACTTGTTTTATATATGGAAGAGGAAGTGAAGAAGTACATCATACATGAGTTCTCTAAGGAATTAACCACTAGCCTAACTACTTGCAAAAGAAATTTCCGTCGCTTAATAGTTCTTACTCTGAGAGGAAATCGGTAGTTGAGAAAATGATCTCTTCTGAGGTGAACTCAACTTATTATCCTATTGTGTTTTTCTACGGTTTGGCCTGGACTTCCATAAATGGACGTCTGTAGTTTGAAAATCCTCATCTACGGCGGGGGGGGGGGGCTTTTATGGGTCAAGCTCGTCGCACGGGGCTTGCCTCCTGGGTGGTATGTGAGCTATTGCAAGGTCTCATACAGCTCTCAGTTTCTTTTTGATAAAGTTTATACGGTTTTGAACATATCATAGATATCATATAGTATACTTTATAAAAATGGGTATTTTTAATCTATATATTATCTCTCTCTCAGTCTATATATATACATGTGTGTGTGTCTGATAGAGAGAGAGAGAGAGGAAGGGGGGAAAGAAGCAAGTGATCCTTGATGGTGGCTATTGTATAAACAAGTTCTTTTAATACTTTGTCATTTTCCAGAGACACTTATGTGGAAACGCATTATGCCATCAGGCATTCCGCCAAGTAAACGCGAGAGCCATTCCTGTTCATCTTGGAACAATAAGATCATTATCATAGGTGGTCAAGACACATCTAGCTTTTATCAGTCAGATGTTCATATACTTGACACAGGTATTTAAGAAACTCGTTCTTGAAGTTACATGTGAAAAAGTTAAAGTTGTATCGTAGTTATTTTTCTAGTACCAGGTCTACATTCTATGACTATTTTGGCATCCTGTTTCTATAGATACCCTGAGCTGGTCCAAGTTGAACACTAAGGGCCAGATTTTGCCACCGCGAGCTGGGCATACAACCATTTCATTGGGCAGGCACCTGTTTGTCTTTGGGGGTTTCGCTGATAACCAGAGCCTATTTGACGACGTTTACGTGCTTGATGTTGGTATGCTATTTGTTAGATCATATAACTTAAATTTTTTCCTATCAAAGAAAAATCAAACAGATGAAACTATTATACTGTGATGACTTCAGATAGAGCATTTGAGTAGGAAGAAATGCAATTACTTTTTCCTAAACCAAATATCCGGGCAAATGTTGGTCTAAATTTCTCTGTTGTGTCTGTCTTTGTCTGGAGAGGTCTCTTTATGTATGGGGTAACATAACATGTCTCTAAAACTTCAGTGCAAATTGCTCAACAATTTGGAGAAGTAGATCCAGTCTAGCAAACGACTAGAGAAATTGATTAATTTCGCTATCTTTCATACATTCAACTGTATGAATTTTGGTTTTAGCTCATCAAATTTGTATGGTCCCTCATTATCAAGGGGATACCTGTTAATAATAAAAATTATTATTCCATGATCATAGTGTTTTTATATTGTTGTGAAACTATAGCAAGTGATGATTGGTGGATCTTAGTTGGCATTCATCATTTAGAATTACAAAAGCTATGTAAGACTGAGAGTTTCTACGACTGTGTTGTTTGGTGTGATTGTTGTGTATTAAAGAGATACATGATATTCAATTGACTGTATGATGTATCTTCTGAATGTCTATACAGCTTCTGGTACATGGAGTGAGGTCGAGCTCACTGGTGAGGGCCCATCCCCCAGATTCTCAGTAGCTGGGGATTGTTTAGATCCACATGTGGGAGGTACTCTTGTATTGATAGGTGGTTGTAATAACACACTTCAACCCTTGGAGGACATGTATTATCTACAAACAGGTCTATCATCAAGTCCTCCAACAAACCCACATTAATTTTCATTGACTTCTACTTATTTCTGTTACACCATTTATTTAGAACTTTTTGATATCCCTTTGATAAATATCTGAATCTTGTTTTATGTTCGTATCACTAGGCATTGTTAGAGAGGATGAACGAGACGAAAGAAGGATAGCGAAATTGTCTTTGAGAAAGCAATTGAAGCTGAAATGCCAGAAGCAACAAGCTTCAGCTTCTCCCGGCGATAATTCTTTTGAACGATTTGATAATAACGCTAATGTTCATCATCAAATGCCTGTGAACTATACACAGCCAAGTGAGTAACTTTTTCATATCCTGTTGATTTTAATTTGAAATTTCCCTCCTTGTACTTCCTGAGATTCGTCTTACTGAAGCTGCTCCTTGTTTGTGCATCTATGATTACTTTTATCTTTTTCAATATGATTTCTTTAATTATTTGTGGCCAGCCATTCCTTAATCATTTTATTTTGACAAAATGTTTGGTAAGAGGAGACCTTAAAAAAATGAGGAGACCTTAAAGACTGGAATAACTTGAGAGAGGATTAGATTATAATTCATAAAGCAAGCCTCCATGTGGATACATACATACACTAGGCAGAGAGGGGTAAGGCTGCATAGGCGCCACCTTTCCCAGATCTCACTTGTGGGATCACACTGGATATGTTGTTGTATATATATATATACAATACACCGACACAAAAATATTTCTTGTTATTTCTTTGCTCTAAGTTATGGGCAAAGTTTAATATGGTTGAGAGAGTAGATACTGAACATGTTCACTTTTCTCTTGAGTTTTTTTTCCAGGAAAAATAAAGTGTCCTAGCATGTCATATATTGTCTGATAAATAGTATTGTATCTTTTTGTGTACTTTGTACAAGTGATAGTGTGTAGTGCATCTAATGCTTGAAGCAGGGAAATATTGGTGTCACAGTTGTTTTGAACTGACTTCTGAAGGTGCATTGGTATTGTGACAGGTCGACATAATGTTTATTCAAATGAATACCAGACTCCTCTGAGGACGAAGACATTTCAAGCCATGGTCACAAAGAGTTTTCCAAATGGCTATACCGTTGAAACTGTTATTGATGGAAAACCCCTTCGTGGATTAGTATTTTCCTCCAAACCAAGACCTGAACAGACTCCCTGTAATGATCCTATCAGGTGCATGATGATCTGATTTTCTAATTTTGATAGATAAGTGTAGCAGAATTTCTGTATTATTAAAATTTTGGTTCACTTATTGCCTTATGGATGATGTTAACCTAAATTCAAAATTAGGAATATGGGAAATGGTGAAACTGATAGAGAAAAGCAGAATGGCGACCATAATTCTGTTAGAGAAGCTACAAGACCTTCAGAAACCAATGTGAGCGACTTCCAGCAAGCAGATATCTTAGGTGGGAATTCTATCAGAAATGAGCCTCCAGTTGGAGGTGCTACAGCTCAAATGGAGAGTCCGTTGACCTCTTATGCTCCACCTGCCCATGAGGTTATACCTTCTTTCTTTGGAATAAATTGTTTAATTGTGCTATACCTATCTTACAGAAGAATTTGTACTAGTTCCAGCTTGGTTGCACAAGAATACAGAATCTCCTTTCTCATTGGTTTGTACAGATCATTATTCTTATTGCACCTTGCAGCGTCTCCTATATTATGGAATTAATTTAACATTTGACGTGGCAACCATGCGTGATTGCAGCTTATAAAACAATTTTAGGGCTTGCCACTTCCATTAAAAAAAATTCTATCTTCATCCTCTTGAAATTACATGAGAAATTTGTGATGACCATTAGACTGTATCGCAATAATTCTATATACAAAGCATATAAGTTGGCAACATATCTGGATTATTTCAAGTTTGATTAATGAGTTAGGCTTTTATGACCAAGCTCTGATGTATTTTCTTCTCGGCAATTTGAGACATCAATCCACATGCAGCAGTCTTCTTCAATCACATACTTAAGTTTGCTTCTAGCCTATAAAACTACACCTCAGTCCCAAACAAGTTGAACTCGGCTTTGTGAATCCTCACATGTCCATTCAAGCTCAACTCATCTCATCATCATACCAAATAAAAATAGAAGTGAAAAATAAGTTCGATACAAACAAATAATAACAACAGTGATAATATTAAAAGTTCTCTAGCAAGACGAAAACCTATGTCAACTAGTAGACAATCACCTATATGGATATTTTTCTTTGCCCTATCATTATCTATATCTTTATTGATTCCAAGAATTTGTAGGTCTTTCGAGACAGCCTCCTTCAATGTGATTTTAGGTCTGCAGTGTCCCTTTGTAATACCTTCATACGCCATAGTTTCACACTACTGACCTGTGCATCTGTAGGTCGATGCATACCTACAAGATATGACCAAACCATCTCAAGTGACACTCTCTCATTTTATCCTCAATGTGCTACTTGCGTCCTTTGGCATATTCATTTTTAATCTTATTCTATCCTGTGACCAGTTGACTGCTCATCCATCTTAGCATCACATTACTGCAACACTCATCTTATGGATATGTTGAACTATAGTGGGCCCAATATTCATTACATATGACGTTGTTGGTCTTATAGCTGTTTTGTAAAACTTAGTTACACCTAGGTAGGCATCCTTTTATCACATAACACTCCGATAACACTCCATTTCAACCATCCGATTTTAAGTCTATTAGGATCAACTTTATCTTTCATTCCGTTCTCTTGAAACTATGAAACCTAGATATCTGAATTGTTTGCATTTTGGCCTCATGTATAGTTATCTTAATACTGTTACTCTGTAAAGTGCTTCTCTATCGTTAAATTTTTTTGATCGACACCCTTGCTGATTTCTTTAACTAACTTATATTCCATGTTACAAGGAGTTACATAAGAAATATAGGATTGTTTTTCTCTATATCAATCCTTTGATAAAACACTCGAATCGAGTAAGGAAGGAGGGCTTGAGTTGATATTCAAAAGAGTTTGTCCTGGTGTGCTGCTTCTTTCTTGCCACAACTTATTGAGTCAAAAACTTCTCTATTCTATTTGTTTAGTTCATATTCAACTTTCTTTAGTGGCATTAGACATTCATTTATATTTCTTTAAATCCAGAGTGACATGTGTCAAAAAACAACATCAGCAAATTACATGCACCAGTGTTCAAGCTTTTGGTTCTCTCTCTTCAAAGAAGTCGTTTTCCACTCTCTCTCTGCAGTAATGTGAAACAAAAAAGGAAGCATTTCTTTCAAGTTACGAATTTTAAAGTTCTGATTTCGTTTCTAACCTCCACGTCTCTTTTCCTTTTATAACTAGCCTTATGAGTACCTGCTCTACAACGGGGGTTGGTTTTTAAGTGACCAAAGAATTATAATTATCATTGGAGCTACATGTCTCCCTTTGCTGCTGGTTTCTTGTATTGCGTGATTTACCATGTCTCTTTATTAGCAAAATGGGTTATTTCTGTACTTTCACTTTGACATGATTTCTGATGAAGTGCCTCTATAGCAGGTTCGTAATGTGTCCGATGTTGTGAATTTGGGAAGTGGTATGCTTACTGATGCAGTCGATGGTGGTACTAAGGTGTCTAAGGAGAATTCTTCTGCAACTAATGACTCTTGAATCCTTTATTTAAGGTACATGTTGTATTCCCATGCTTGTCTTGTAAGTTTTGATTTCTTGATAAAGAAAGAAGTGATACAATTGTTTGAATTTAGAAAAATACCATTATAATCCTGCGCTGTTAATTTTCAACTTCATATGTAGTAAAAGACAAAATGTTACTGATTTTACTTCTATCTTGTTTTTAACATTAGTGTTTTGTATATGAAATTATTCTTTCAATCACTCAGTTTACTGAAGGAACTGTTGATGGTTAGTTTGAAATATTTCCTTGTTATAGGATCCGGAACAATGTTCTTTTTTATTTGAACTTGGCTTTTTCATTAAGACATCTTCACTCATTTTCGTCAAGTTTTATGGCCTCTGTTTTTATGCATTATCATTAAGGAGATGCATATACTAGTTCATGTAATCAATGCGACTCCTTTTTGTTGGGCTCTGTAGGGAGAAATAATTTACTGATGTAACCTGCTGTGAAGTACCCCCCAGCATATTAAGCCTATCAGTTAATGGTGAATCCAGACAGTTTTCATGTTGTTTGTCAATATTAGGAGGATACGCGTTTAGTTATAATATTCTTGTTGGCTAACCAATTTTCTCTAATCAAAAACAAAAAGAGAGAAATTCAAAGTTGGTGTTCAGAGGGAGATAAATTTGAGAATAAAATCTCAAATTAAGTGCTAGGAAGTAGAACCCTCATTGATCTTAGTATTAAAAAATTAACGGATGAAAGCTAATTATGATATTAATAGAGTCAGTTCAAGAACTTATGACAGTGATCTAGACCTCTATTTCTCTGTTTCTAAGTAATTAGTGGCAATAGGTAGTGTGAGAAATATAGGAGAAAATTTTATTGAATTATTATCTACATAACTACATTAAGTATTATATACACTACATGACAATTCTTCTCCTAGTAGAATATTATATACAAATCATATTCCTATTTCTATTCTAGGACTCCCTCTCAAGCTAGTGCAGATAAGTCATATGTATCGAGCTTGCTACAAATGTAATTAATATGAGTCCCAGTGAGGGGCCTGCTGAAAATATATGCAAGCTGCTATGATACTATGTAGAAATGTCCATTGATTTAACTTAACCCCCATAGCTATCTCATGAGGTGAGGATTGTCTAAGTCCATAAAAACTAACCACCATTCCATTTCCCAGCCAATGTGATACTCTAACCCACTCTAACAATTAGTACAAGTTTAACTGTCATTTTTAATTTATGAAGAAGAACCAAGATATCTTGTTAAAACATCAATATTACCTTCTAAGAAGAATTTTTCTAATCTTAAGTAGCCAACATGCAAAGGTTAAAGAAGAGAAACTCTTGAATAATATTAGCATAATGTTGTTAAAAAGAACAAAATTCACCCCTATGTATAGGGGAAACCTATCCCAAATAACATGGAGTTTGAATCCTACGCTTTTGGAAATATAACGGATTGTAAAAATCTAACAAGGAAACCTTAAACTAGGAAAAAAAGTAAATTGATGTCACACTTGATCTCTACCTAACAGGAAAGGAAAAAGTGTCCAATTCTTAACCAAAAAGACATGCCTATTTTGCTGCAACTTGGGCGTGAATTGGAGCCCCAAAACTCTGTGATTCTAACGGAAGCCTCTCTAACTCTATAAGGTAGGGGTAAGATTTGCATACATACTACCCTCTCCAAACCCCACTTGTGGGATTACACTGGGCACGTTGTTATTCTCAGCCCTTTTGGGCAGAAATTTCAGCCTTCTTTCTTGGGCTCCATCTGGGGCCCTTCTCTTGGTTTATGTAGGCCATTTTCTTCCTCTTAGATTTGAACTTGCACCATGAAAAACTTGTAGCATTAGGCCCACTCTTTGCCATATTTCTTGGGCTCATCTTCCACGATAAACACCATCTCAAATCTTGATCGCTCTCTAGCTACCAAAGCTTTATCCAAGCTCTTTAATGTAAATATGTCACCATGGATGCTACCATTGTCTCTACATTAGATAAGTCTACAGTACATGAGTTCAGCAACCCTTTCCTTTTGTGGCCCCAGTTCATTAGTATGCTTATTGTGGCATGAAGATGAAGTTGACTTTCCTCTGTAAGAACACATATGCACTAAGATCTACTCCGGTACTCTAAAATCTGAATCCAATTCTTCAGCGTAAAACTTTCTCATGCCATATGTGAACAGTGTTGTCTATGGTTCATCTTAAATTCAAGCCCATGAACTGATGGTCTTTGTTTCCTTACCCCATCTTCCATGGGTAGATCAGTAGACAAAGATGTAGGATAATCTGGCGACAGCAGAACTAGATGGTGCTAGTTCCTTGAAGCACAAATGGGGACGTCATAGCTTATCTACCTTAGAGACAATTAAGATAAAATGTGTCAGACTCATAGCATAGCAGACAACTATTATTATGACAGGATATGATTCTATTCTCTAGAATCTCAGCTAGCTGCTCCCTCCACAGGGGGATAATATTGGCGGTCCCTCTTTCAATTCTAGTGACGTTTGCATGTTTCTAGCATTTAGATCTTGTCACAAATTGCATGGCAGTGGAATTTTCTGGTTCTGTCTGAATCAAGCGAATTAGTGTCCCTTATACAGTAGTAGGTTATTTCCATTTAAATTGCTTAAGCTTCTCCTTCTTTTCATCTGATGCAAAAGTAGTGTATTCACGTTTTGCTCATTTGAAATCTTCCCTTACCTGGAATCCGATCTCATGAGATTTTCGATAGTCAACATCACACAATGTTGTTAGTCTCCAAATCTCAGTAATAATTTCTGTTGACTTGTTAAATTTGTTAATGTGGAAGAATTTCTTATTAATATAAAATGTCTGAAAGGCTTTTGGTTATTTTTGTTTTTACTTTTTGATAAGTTTTGTATTGTCTACAAAGATTAATGAAAATATTGATGTGTCTCATTGTTGAGAGATTGAGTGTGTGCCTTGCACGTATGCAATAGATCAACTATAACAATTATTATTTTAGAAAATTTAGTCTAGAAAAAAAAAGATTAAGAAATGAATAGATTTTTGAAATTTAGAAACGTTAGAACAATAATTCAAAGTCTGAGTATGAATTCAAACTTGCTTAGGATTTGGTATTTATTTAATTCATGTCTAAATAGGATTTGTAGTCTAAATAATATAGGAATAGGTTTTCTAGTCTTTAACTAAATTAGGTTTTGCAAATATATAGAGGTGTTGCTAGCTACTTCCTGTTGTGAGAAGTAGAATGTAGAACAACATTCAGAGATTTGAGTTTATGACCATTTGTATTGTTACCCATTATGTGTTAATTTCACCAAGTTCCAGTTATCTGTTGGCTCTTGCAATATCTTACGTAGTCTGCTGAGGCAAATATGCCTTAGAAAAGCATAAAAATGCTGCTATTTTCTTCGCTAAAATAACTGAAAACACTTTCTAATGGATACTTACATATGATAAGGGACCTTGATTTTCATGGGAGTAAGATAACATGGTTTCTACCGGTCAGCATCTCCATCTCTGTTGGTTTCCCTTGGGATAGGAGCTTGGCTACGTGATTTAGCTCTAATCTTTGCTTTGACGTCCTCTTCCTGATAATTTATCATTTATTTAAATTGTTGGCAGCACTACATGTTGTACTTGTACCTAAAAGATAAGAACATGAATTGCGACATTGAATTGATTACTGTTCCATTTTTGGTGTCAACAGAATCAAACAGCTTGGAAAAAGATTTTCTCAATCAAATTATTTGAGGTAATTTTACTACTATACATTTAATATAAAGATGTATTATGTCTAAAGATAGACACAATTAAGTATGGATTGCCAATGTTAAGACTTGAAGATGCTTGTTCCCAGACTTCTTATGTTAGAAGTATTAGTTATGTTTCTGTAACAGTGGCATTTCTCATAAAAAAAACTTGGTGCTTATTATTTTAGATTCTCAGTTCATTTTTGCTTTATTGGTTTTCGCAGATAAGAATCAATGTAACACCGATTAGCCTTGTGCAATTTTATGGAGATGGCGGAGGGAATTAATTCACTTCATCTCTACAGTCTGCTTGAGGATATTATAGTTTCATTTTCCTTAGGTTTGATATTTCTGGGTAAAGATTCCCAATGAATTTATATGAAAAAAAAAAAATCATATCGACTGCGGTGTTGTGGTCACCAGCTTAGCTAATAGTAGAAGCTTTAGTGAAATTCAAGGAGACAACTTTACTAATCACCTGTTAAACTGTTTTTAATTAACTATGAAGTGCTTATCTGCCTCCCTAGCCTCTTTTCATTATCAATTTTTTGCAGCTTCTACTTCTGAAAGTGTATGGTATACACTTTCTGGTTTGGTCTGATTTTGGGTGAGTTATTTGGAGATTTTTGGGGTCCAGTTACGATAACTTTGGATGTGTAGAATGAATGCAGATTGAAATGTGACTTGGAACATTTTCTTGTGTCATGGTTAGGGTTTATTAGTTTGTTTCTGTTTTTCTTTAGTGACATATTCAAGGGAAGATATTGTAAGTAGTGTACGTTATTCACGAATGATATAATATTGATCAAAAGAGATCGTCAATGATTAGTTGTAAAGTTTGGAAATAGAACATAGATTTTAAAGGTTTTAGGCCGGGTGAGACTTATGTATAGAAATATTTGTAGAGTGAGTTTAGCGATACGTGTGTGAAGTGAAGATCGATACACAAGTCGAGGAGTCTTCAAGTATGTTGGGTCTATAACCAAGAAAACATGAATATTGAATATGATGTTGTATATTGTATTTGGAACAAAATGGAAGCTCGTGTTTGAAGTATCGAGTGATTAAAATGTGTCATCAAGGCTTAGAGATAAGTTTTTAACATATAGACGTGCATTTATACATGGGTGGATATTAGAGTTTTGATAATTATTGCTGAAATTTGTTTTTTAATTTTTTCTTATTTATGCTTACTCCTTAGCATAGTATATATATCAATAACTAGTATTTTTCATCTTGTTTTATATATATAAAAAAAAGTTATATAGATTACTAAATAAATGAAAAATATCATGATTTTACGGGGGAAAAATGAACAAAGGTTGATAATGTGATAAAATAGATCTTCAGATAAGTTAATTAGAATAAAGAGAAAAATGTTTTTTTTTTAAATTCCAAAAACTAAGGGAGAGTTTGATTTTAGACACAAATGTGTATTTGTAGTTTCGATTTCTATAGTATTTTACTCAATATTTTAAATCTTCGATTAAATTAAACTTATGATTTTCATTCTTTTAAGAGGTTAATACTAGAAGTTAAAATTTTACAAAACTATAAATTTTAAACGGAAAATAAGTCACTTTTCGTTCACTTAATATAAATTAGGGTCGTTCCATTGTAATGAATTAGTTCATAAATTTAGAAAGAAAAAAAAAGAATTGGCCAGAATTTGGTCATAATGGTAAAATAACATAGTTTACACTTTTTACAGTGTTATTTTATTTTTTAAAATATTTTTATCTTTTCAATTAATACTTTTTAATTAAAAATGAGAAAAAGATTAGTTTATTTTAAAATAAAAAAATATTATAAACTTTTTAAATTTTGGCCAAATTCTGACCAAATTTGGCCATTTAGGACTACCCTCATAGTTTGGGAAATATCGTATTTTAAGGAGTTTTTTGAATCATGAAATAAGAATTCAGAATTTTCTTGATTTTTTCGATTGTATTAGTTCATGATTTATTTAAAATATGTGTCGATTTCTGTTTGAACAGATTTTGTGGGTCTATTCGAGAAGACCTAGTAAATGATACTCATAACTTTTCATAGGCATATATGTATATATATATTGAAATTTATGGTTCACGAATCATAAACTCATGACTATTTTCAACTTTTCATGTATATTAATTCATGAACTTTCTGAAACATGTGTGATTGATTTTGGTTGAGCTCAAATTTTGTGGGTTCATTCTTGATGATCTAATAAATGATACTCATAGTTTCTCAAGGACAAAATCACTTTTAGAGTTTGTGGATCACGAAACAGAAAATACAAAAATATTTTGACCTTTCAAGTGCACAAACACATGTTTTTCTTGAAATATGAGTGACCGGCTCTGATTGTGCTAAAAATTTATTGGTTCATCTATGACGACCTAGTAAGTGATACTAATCGACTCTGTTTAAACTTCAGTTTTCTGAAATAATTCGTAACGATCTAATAAATGATGCTCATAATTTTTCAGGGATATACATTACTTTTTTTTAGAGTTTATGTCACAAAACAAAAGTTTAAAATTATCTAAATTGTTTGTGTATATTAGTTTATAAATTTTTCAAAAAATGCATGATTAACTAAATTTAAGCTCGAACTATCCATATTTTTTGTACAAAAAAGTCATTTAGTTATTGTTAAAGATGTTTTGGTACGTCACAACTCTAAATTTATTTATTTTCACAAAACAAACTTATTTTTGAAATTTATTATATTCGTCGAAATGGCTAAATTTTAAGCCCTTCCATACATTTTTATATCGGAGGAAGTTATAGTAATGATTCGGTGATGTTATGTTAGAATCTAGACTATAGTCGATCTAATACAGTATGTGGTTGGGAACTTCGATGTAACATTGTTAGATATATTTAAATATAAGTCGACAAACTCTCAAAGAAGACCACAAAAACGAAAGCATTAAAACCCAATTTAAATGATTAGATTCAATTCTAATATTTGAAAAAAAAACACTAAATTGATTTAAAACTAACCCAAGTAAAAACATGATACCCAAGTTCCAAGGCTGGCTGTGGTCTGTGAATATAGAATTTTTTGGACTGAGAAATAGTAAGAACTTAAAAATGCTTTCTCTCGTAATAATAATGGCCATTCAATGTTATCTAAAAATGAAAGTCATGCTAGAATCATTGCATCCTAGAACAACAGTAGCACACGAACTAAAACTTGATTTCCTTAACCAGGCATTGAGGATAGTTCACAGTTGAAGCTTTGGGTATATATCCCAACAGTGAATAGGAAAGGATGATCATATTACAATTGGATCATCTGAATGCCGAGACTGGTTCTCCAGACACAAAATAAACCAACATAGAGTAACAGCAGTCTCATTGTTTTTTCATGACTACACAGTTTCATCTTTGGACAGAAGGAACTAGTTCTTGCCATCGCCAAACAGGTAACCAAGGGAAGATCCACCACCTGGTGCTGCATGCACTTTGGTAGATGGGCGATCCTGAAAAGACACAAGATTCAAACATTTAATTGACAAGACAATATTACCCTGTGAAATAGACAAGAAAAAGGGAATAAGATGTGAAAGAATTAGCATATGCTACTGAGCTAGATAAAGAATGGAAAAGAACATCTCCAGAACAGGATCGTTCAGTTCACATATCCCCTCCCAAAAGTTGGTAAAATGTTTATGATGGCAAAATCCCAGGTGATTGGAAAACAGAAGTTGCTACAAACAGAAATGTGATGTGACAGAATCAAGAAGCATGTTGTACTGAACTAAATAACTATTGGAAAAGAACTTCCTTCAGAACTTTTTAGATGTTATTATCCGCAATTTTACTCCTGGAGCAGCAAGAACTGAAGGAGGTGATAGAATCAAGAATGCAAGAAGCTGTAGTACTGAACTAAATAGAGAATGGAAAAGAAATTTCTTCATTAAAGAATCTGCTTCTATGTAAAGTTCACCTTCTGAAAGCAGTCATTTCAAAAACTAATTCATTTGACAATCATAAAGAAAGAACCAATGAGTAGGAGGGGATAAGTGATCTGCAAGTTCATTGTAAAATCGACTTTGAAAGAAAGCTGATCTGCATCTTACCGTGAGGAAATTCCCAGTGTTCTGTCCATCTGCACGGAAATAGTTATTGGAATTGCGCCCCTGGATGCCAGCTGGAATCTGCTTATTAACATTTGGAGCTGGTGCAGTTGCAGTAGGCTTCTGTGGATCGCTTGTAGTAGGTCCTTGATTCTGTGGAGCTTCTACCTTGTTGTTAGTAGGCTTTGGAGGCTCACCATCTCCAAAGAGGTAACCTAGGGAACTCTGTCCTCCACCACTGCTGACTCCACGACCCATGATCTCTCAAACTTTTAATTGATTGATTCTGCTCAAAGCAGCAGTACACAATGTCAGAAAAACTTAGATGACATTGTAAACAAAGAGTATGAAGTACAAATAAGCTCTACAATCCACTGCAGTATACCTCATAAAGATAAACTACAATATGTGTGAGTGAAACGAACTACTAACAGTATCACATATGGAACCTTATAGTTTAAATGAATTTCCTCCTGGTGAAAGTTGAGAGAAACTTATATAGAGATTACAAGAACATTATACATTTCAAATGCAAAACTTCAGTCTATATAACTTCTTCTTCCCACTTCAGTATATAACTTGCCTTTCCCATGAACCACCCTATAATAAACTAACCATATCTTATTGAGAAATCACAAAGGTAATTCAGAACTTCTTTTTTATTAGTACAAAGGCAATGCAGAACTTGGTAACATGTGACTACAATGTGGTATAATATTAAGACTGGCATACATATTTTCTGACTAGACACACATACATATAAGTTTGTCCTATTCAGATCAATCAACATATATACACAATAATGAAATAGCTGCAGACGTAGATTTCAAATCTATCTGGATCTGTGATATTAGAAGTCCAAAGCTCTGTATCCATTTAGACCAATTACACGCATGTTACACAATTATCTTTTCTTTCTTTGAGCCAGATTTAATATTACTATTATTGACTCGTCCATCTACTGAAACCAGATAACATCTCTCAATTAGCAAGCAAACCTTGCAACCAAGTAAATAGAGTAATACACTCAAAACTTAGACAAAAACACAATCTCCAGCCCAATATAGCATATCAATTGCAAAAGCAACATCAGATTAGTGGATATACATGTGCAGTAATTGTTAAATCATCCAGAATGAAACATAACAAACTAAAGCTACTCTAGCAACAACTGTCGGATCAAATATTTGATTAGTTCTATCAAACTTGTCAGTTTCTTCTAATTCCTTCAGATAACACTTAGAATTTCATCGGTAACACGGAAAGCCAACGAATCAGCAGTATACACTGCACACAGATATATCGATGCATGTTAATCAACAACACATAAAACAGATAATCATGAGCACCGTGGATGCAAATCAAAATCGCGAAAACTTCATCATCATGTATATCAGCAGCATTCTATAAACTCAGATCCGAAACCATGATAATTATGAAAAAAAATGATGCATAGATTCTAAACCAAAACGCCGATCCAGAGAAGACGAACTACAACAACAACGGGATTCGACATTCAAAAAATAAAAAAATGAGATTCAGACTCAGTAAGAGCAAAACGAGAGAGCGGCATCATGTACCTGAGGAGTTCGGATCAGATCTGTTGAGAGAAATTGATCGAAGAGCAGTAGGGCTTTATAGGTACAACTAACGGCACGCACAGCAACGGAAGGGATATGAAAATATCTGAAACACTATTCGGTGTAGTGGGTGCCTGCTTGCATGGCTGGACTTAGTGGACTGTTGTGCAAATAATAACGGGATATTACGAGGTCGGTTTCGTAATTTTTATGAACTTTTAAATTTTCTTTTCGACCCTGTCTTTTCAGCTTTATGTAGTTCATATTTGGAATATTTTGAGGTTACAAACTTACAATTATGGGTGAATAAGAAAAACGGAAGGTAAATAAAGGTCATTACAATCATATATAAATTTCATAAATTTATCTAGTATATATTAATCAAATATTTTTTTAAAAGAAAAACTAAGAATCACAAATAAGGGATAGAAACAAAATCATTTTTATCGATCCTAGAAATCAATACATTAAATTATTTATGGTATCTAAAGCAAGAATTAACATAAAAATTGCAATGTAAATTATAACAAGAAGATATATTCATACCCCTCTGTTCATATTTATTCATCAAATAATTTTGATTTACTAATTTTTTATTTCACTTGTTATTTATGACAAAAATTAAATAAAAATAATTTTTTTCTATTATATTCTTATTTTATTAAATTGAGTAAATATCTTTAAAAATATATATTTGAAACTCTATAGATAGAAAAGATAAAATAATAAACATTATGTCAACATTTGATGAATAAAAGGGGTGGGAGAAAGTATTTAAGTGTGTTCGTTCCTAAAATATTGTAATCAATTTCGATAAGATAATTAAGGTAATATATTTTCAAAAGATATCTATATAAATATATGATTTCATTAATATCATAAATTAATAACTTTTTAAAGTATAAATATGTGTAAGACAATTTAGTGAAATATGATTAAATTGTGTTATGTTTTTTCTTAAAATTTAAATATAGTTGAAGCTCATTTCTAACTTTTCTTATTGTATCCAAGAGCTCTGGTGTTGTCTTTTCGAAGTGCACCATAAAATTGTGAAAAGTTCTAGATGCGATAAGTGTTTCCTTACGCGTATCTGGTTCCAAATGTACAATATCATCTTTAACTTCATCATCAACATTGCTTTTTTCGATTGTATCCACAATTTCTTCTAAACTTCTAGACCTCTATACAAGTATTACTTTCACTCGGATAATCCAAACAGGTTATAGACATTCATTTTACTATGGTAACCGAGATCATTAATCACGATCTCAAGTTCATGAATAACGTTTTCACAAGTAGGTTCATTAAGATCCTTTGAGATTGCATCGCCCGAACGATTTTTATAGTATTGAAAACAATTTGCTATTGTCTCTTGTTAAACATTTTTTGTTCAAACAAAGTGCATAATTGATAGCATCCAAAACATTGACCTTTGTTGGATCATTTTGTCCCACTCCATAGTCTTCTTTTATCCTACGATAAATTATGTTCGATAATATATCTTGAAAACTTTTATTATTACAACATCTCAACATTGAAATTAATAAGTTACTAACGATTTTGATGTATTCGTTATATTCTTTTTTATGTGAAATCGATGAATATGATACATAAATTAGTAAGATATAATGATTTTGAGATAATCAAATTAACCTTCATCAAATCTCAAACTATTATTTAAATTAATAAATATTAATTTATCGATTGAAAAATATTTTTTTAAAATAATAAAATTTAATGCTATATTAGTTTATAGAGGTTTAACTATGCTAATTAACGGGTTAATTATCAATTATATCCTTTTTTTTCCTGCAAGAATATTCTCATTTGGCCCCTTTGGAAATAGCAATATTAATTCTGAGATCCCCGCAATCTCTTGGAATACCAAAACTGAACCCATTTTCTCCGATCCGTCGTCTTCATAGTTCATATTCCCCAACTTCACTGTCTCACGTCACCTCTCTGTGCTTCAAAAAGCTTGTCGCCTTTAAAGACAACAACTCAAAGTGTTTTCTCTCTTCATATGCTTCAGGTATTCTCATCCGCCGGCTTCAATTCTTTTGCTGTTTCAGATTTTGTTTCCGTAACTTAATTTACATTTTTCTGATGGATTGAAGTATTCGATTTGTTCACTTTGGAGTTCTAGGTTGTAATTGAGTTCCAATTTTACTTCATGTGTATGCAGTGCTTCAAATCTGGTAATGCTCTAAAACTTAACTCTGTTGAACGCATCTTACTTTATTTTCGCTTGTTTAATAAACTACAACTGTTAATTTATAGGCATTTCCCCTTATTTGGATTGTGATTACACGGTATCAAGCAGTTTATGAGTGTGTACTTACAATTAAGTTTAGTAAAAGTCAAACTCAAGGACTTGAAGAGATAGGACAGTGGCATGTCACGATGATGTTTACTAATCCTAGGAAGTATGTGTCTTTATGAGGTGTTGACGAAGCGGTGTTTTGTTTGCTCTAGAACTCATGATAGCTTGATTTGGAGAAAACAAACTAATCTAGTTTATGCTTTTCAATTGTTTTATTGGTTTTAGTAAACATTGCTTAACATATAGAGATAGTTGGCCTATGATATTCAATTGTTTGGGATAGATAAGTAGCAACAGGAAATTGGAATTCCTGTTGCTGGTGGTGTTTCACTTGGTATTGAGGTGACTAGTCTGTGAGGAAGAGGCATAGCAGTAAGATTGGTTTCCAGGAATTGGCTGATCTTGAGCTCCCAGATTATGTTGCTAAAAAGAGAACTAGTAAGGATGTATTGAACTGAGAAATGAAGTACACAGCAGTGCTGCATTCGTAGAAGGAGAGCATAGCTTGTATATCGCTGCCTTCATAACATGCAGTGGCGGATGTAGCTAACAAGATGGTTCAGTTGAACCCTGTAATTTTAATTTGGAGCTTAGGTATATGGGTAGTAATATCACCAAAATTTCAGTAAAACACATTTTGAACCCATCATTTCAAAAGTTCAATGGGTTCACTGGTAAAATTATAAAGATTAAACCCATCAAGTTAAAATCTTTGATCTGACATTGATTACATGAAGGGCTAAAAAAAGAAAAGAAAATAGGCAACATAAGGGGGTACTTTTTGTCATCTTGTATATTTGATATTGAATGCTTTAGAGGCCATAGGAATACAATTCTAAAATGAGCTCGCGTCACTGGTCGTCTTAATAATTGAAACCAGGTCACAAGCAAGAAGTTGTTTTGTGGATATGAGTTCACAGAGAAATAAAAGAAAATGAGAATCAAGCTGAAGAGACGAGCCTGCCCCTTGAAAATAATGTAGCTTGCAGGTCTCTACGTTGTCATGTTTAAGGATTTTTGTTCCGATAGTTTGGATTTGCTGTTAAACAAGTTGCATTGTGATGAGAGTTTGCATACATAGGCATCATATTTCTTTCTGAGAGCAGTTAATTTATTGAGGTCAAGACGAGGTCCGCTAATATATTCAAGACTAAGAGTGCTAATAATCTACTGCAGGAAGCAGAGATGGAATTCTATTTCTCCTACATGAAGTATACCATCAATCATGGAGTACGCTGTAATTTGAGATAGCAAAACAAAAGCCACTATTATTGACATCACTTTTGCATGCTGAAAGCCTTGAGTTTATTGAGGTTAATGCTTCTGAAATTGAGAGGGGGAGTCCACAATATGTACAAGATCAAGATAGCTTATAACCTACTGCAGGAAACAGAGACAGAATTCTATTGCTCTTTCCAGCAGCTACCAGCAATTTTGGATGATACTGTGATTCATGAGAGCACAATAAGATCTACGAACATAAGACATTATTTTGCCTGCTGACAGCAGTGAGTTTAATCAGATTAATTTTGCAATTCAGACAAGGAGCCCACAAATATTCCTAGACCAAGAGTGCTGATAACCTCAAGCAGAGAATAAATTCTATTCAGTATACAAATAATTTTGAAGTATATTGTGATTCAGGAGAGCAAAGCAAAGCCATCTAACATAGACATCAGTTTGCTTGATGAAAGCACTGAGTTAATTGGGTTAGCAATTTTGTAATTGAGACGAAGAGTTCAAGATGTATCCAAGACCAAGGGTGCTAATAACATATTGCAGGAAGAGAAAAAATTCTATCTCTCTTTCAACTTGTGTACCAGATATCATGGAGGATGTTGCGATTGAGGAGAGCAAAACAAAGTCCACTAACGCCGACACTACTTTGCCTGATGAATGCACTGTTTTTTCATTTGAAACAAGGAATCTACAGATGTATCCAAGACCAAAAGTGCTGATAAAATATCGCAGGAAGAGGAGAAAGAATTCTGTTGCTCTTGCAAGCACTATACCAGCAATTGTGGAGGATGCTGTGATTGAAGAGAGCAAAATAAAATCGGCTAACATGGACATCACTGTGCCTGCTGAAAGCAGTGAGTTTATTGAGGTTAATGATTTTTCCATTGTTACAAGGAGTCAACGAGTACATCCAAGACCGAGAGTACTAAGAACCTATTTTAGAAAGAGGAGAAGGAATTTCAGTACTCTTGGAAACAGTTTACCAGCATTCATGGAGAATGTTGGCACTTGCACTTTTGGGTCTTTAACCAATGAAATTTTCGATGAGAAAAGACAATCTTTAGCTGAAAGTAGTTCTTCTCCGTCAAATATGTGTGCTTTCATAGATGCAAACACTGAAATCGCAAATATCAGGACCGTCCCTCCATTGAGGAGAGCGCTTAATGGACATTCAAATAAAAAGCTTCTTGTACTTGATCTGAATGGACTTCTTGCTGATATTGTTCCGCTTCAACTTGTGCCGCGTGGTTTCAAAGTGGACATCATTGTTTCAGGGAAAGCAGGTGGTAGTGGCGCCAATAATTTCATTCTGATGTCTATTTTGTCTTTTGAAAAATCTTCTAATTGAGTGATCATCTGTTTTACCAGTTTTCAAAAGGCCTTTTCATGATGATTTTCTGCAATTCTGCTTTGAGAAATTTAATGTAGGTGTTTGGTCGTCGAGAATCAGGTAGTTTCTGAATTTTTTTCACTTCCATATTTATGAAGTTCATATATGTGTTAACATATTTATGTGTGTTGTCCAAAAATTTGCAGGAAGAATGTAGAGTTGTTTCTTGATTTTCTACTGGGAAATGCCAAGGAAAAATTGCTCTTTTGTTGGGTAAGAATCTGTTCTTCCTCAATATCGTAAATTAGCGTCAGTGCAAGTCTGCAAACTTTAATCTGAAAGCACCAGGAACAAAAAAAATAATCTTGTGAGCATGGTCGCTTAATTCTGGAGATCAAACAGCGCTAGGAAATTACACTTAGAACAAGAATCAAGTCCATGTGAAAAAGCACATGTGATTTCAGTATGGTCTTTCTTGTATGAGCACCCAGGATTGTATTATGCTCTCTTCTTCCATTTTACTGTTTTCCCGTGTCTTTTTATGGAATTATGAAGCTGTATATACGATCATCCCATTGATGGGTTGTAAACTAATAAATTTGAGCTAAGGCTATTACATGGATTTTTGCTTTCTTGTTTCATTTAAGGAGATTCTTTCCAGAAATTTGATAATGCATATTCCACCGAGTTTAGAAGGGTGTGATTGGTCCAAATGGTGGCGAGTCACAGATTGATTTCTCGGTTATAAAAAAAAAAGCCTTTGTGAGGTCACCAGTTTTTTTAAAAAAAGGTGCCTCTGTGGGTCAGGTAGGAAATAGCTCTCGAATAAAATATTCATGGATATACACTATCTTTTGTGTCTATACAGGGTTTGGGTGAACATTCTGCGAGCAGTGTGTGAGATATAGTCCTTTGAGTGAATTCCGAGAATACTCAAAGGATCACCTCCTTAGAAGAGTAACCACCATCTATCAGGCTACATCAACCAAGTGAACACTATCCAAAATCTGTCCCAATTCATAACTGAAGGCTCTAGCATACTTACATGCATGGAATTTTCTTTTTTGGCATTGTCCTTTGAAATTTGTAGTAACTATTGCTTCACAATATAGTGACACCGTAGGTGTGGAGCTTCTCCCTCTCTTTCTCCATTGATCTTCTTCAACTCATCTCTTGTCTCTTGCTCTTGATTTTCCCTTTTGCTTGTGGACCTAAAAGTATCTTAGAATCCCTGATGCTGGTTTAGTAGGCCTCATGAAGGACATCCTGGGATAAAAAGATTGTTAGGAGAGGATCTAATGCTTTGGTAAATTGTACCAACGGAATATCCCCTGAATAATCTATTCTTGCATTTAATTTGAATCTGACGTTTTAGTACCAAAAAACCCTTGAAGCACTTAATTCTAATCTCTCATGCTACATTGCTTATCCTAATCAATTAATATTTTGTTTCCCTCAAAATGTTTTTTTAGATGTTGGCATCTTTTCTTACATATTCAACGAAATGAAAGATGAGAAATACTTGTTACAGTATTTCATAAAATTCAATTATGAGTTTGAATTAACTAAATTGATAACCTAGCCTTGTCCTGTTATAGTTTTTTTCATTCGTAGCTTTCAACTCTGTATAATAACTTAGAATGTCATGCAGGATCAATCCCATTGCACTGATACTGGTTTCCCTGTTGTTGGTAAGAAGAGAAGCAAGTCTATTATTTTGAAGAAGCTTAAAAAATTATGGGAGAAGTTTGAACCAGATCTTCCATGGGAGAGGGGTGAATATGATGAGTCAAACACACTTCTGTTGGATGATTCTCCTCACAAGGCCTTGTGTAATCCAGTGAGTATTAACCCTTTCTTTGTTGCCAAGAACCTTCCTCCATGACCTTTAAGTAAATGATTTTGCGCTGTGTTTATTTATTTTCAGCCAAACACAGCAGTATTTCCAAGTACATACCTCTACACGGATGAGAAAGATGATTCATTAGGTGCGTATCTCTCTCTCTTCCAAACATGTACATGATAGGTAATCTGACTATTATGTTTGGACTTCACTTTATGCATCTCCTGATTGGGCATTTCATATATATCGTGCAAATAGATGCTGTCCTTGAATTTTCATCTTTTCTGAACGGGTCTCAAATTGTACTTGATAGTTTCCCACATTTCAACTTCTTTCAATATAACCAAGTGCTTTATTTTAATGTGAATATATTTGGTTCAAGTAATTCGTCTATTTGTGTGGGATATGAATGATAGTTGTATTCCCTGTGAGTGCAAAAAATATGAATTGAATACTATTGTGTCCAATTTATTAGTAATGACGTAGTTGTATTATATCCATCCAGTTCTGTCAAGATTAAATAAGCTTCATCTCATTATTCTCAATAGGGCCAGAGGGTGATCTGCGCATTTATCTTGATGGACTGTCCAGGGCTGAAAATGTTCAGAAGTATGTAGAGAGTAATCCATTTGGTCAACGACCAATCACTGAAAAGAACGCATCTTGGCGTTACTATCGCAAAGTCATTGAAGCCACTTCATGCATTCCAGAACATAGTGCTAACACAATTTCGACTTAACAACACCGATGCTACACTTAAACTTTTGCAACTATCTTTCGGATAGCTGTAGTTGGGGGATGCCTGCTTTGGTTGGGATTCAATATTTTTTGAGCATTACACCCAGGACACAACAACTGCAACAGTAGCCTCATCCCTGACCCAAAACTGTAAAGTATATCCTCCCCCATCAAGTATACTCTAGTAGCAAGCTGTAACCTAGGCAAGTTCATGTAGTATTATTCCATCCAAGAACAAAGACGTATAGTTAGTCCTGGCTTCGTGCAGCTCACAGGTACACACAATAGTTTTGTTGTATTTTTGGACAAAAGTTTTTTCATTGTCCCTTTTCCCCCTGATGGATGATGGATTTTAGTTTTATTGAATTTCTCTCGAGTCTGATTACATCTTACCCTCCTAGACCCGCGACTTGTGGGATTACATGGGGTTTTAGTTTCATACTTTCATTAAATCTTAGTTTCATTTTGTACCCTTAAATCCCAGACTGGTGCACTGTGACCAGCAAAGTAAATTAGCTGCCAATACAATAATAGCTGACAAAATTGTTCAGTAGTCAATATTTTGCCCCCCTTTGAATTCAAGATTTTAGTTGCCCACCTTCCTCGTCACTGTCAACATCACAATCTCTCTCTCTCTCTCTTTGTATTCTCTTATGTGGTAGTTAGAATTTATTAGTCATATCACTATCTAATAGTAAATAACTTAACCCAATATACTATTATTACACGTCTATTTGTACTCAACTCTAATATTTTAGAGTACATTATTAAGAATCTATTTATTGCTTAACTTCATTATATGTACTACCATATGCTTCCATGTGCATTAAACCAACTTCAAATTTCTTTTACTATATATAACAAAGAACTAAATAAGGAGAGAAACATTGGACTTAATTTTATACTTGTCATTTCTGGATACACATACAAAAATTGAGCCCACAATTATGAATTATGATAGTGATAATCAACCAAATAATGGTGGTCGTGGTCCATAGTTGGGTCCTTTTGACAGCTACGAAGAGCCCAAATAGGTTGAGGATAGTGTAAATGAGTGTCTGTGGTTAGAATGAGAGAATGCTTTTTAGGTGCCTTGTCCTTTATCAACCAACTCACTAATTAAGTTATTAGGTAACTAATTACAATCAACACGTGCTTTAGACTTGGAAATTTATTTTTATGATCTGGCTTAGCTTAATTGCATTCATTTGTAGCTTCCATCCAAAAAAACTTGTCTCATCTATTTCTCTTCAATTGACATATAGCTGATCGAATTCACCGTTTACTTTTCCTAACTGATATACATATTATACATCTGTTGCTTATTTTTTTAGTTTTAAGTTCTTGGATGAACGACTATTTACGATCTATGTCCTTTTTCTTTTTTTTTTAATTATTATTTGTTTTTTTAGTGATGTGTAACTACAAAAACCTTGTTTACTCAACCTTCATGGTCCCTATAGTGTCACGGGCACAATAAATTTGGGTTGTCAATTTGTTGCTTTCACAATAACTACAAAATGTGATAAATATTTATATGAATTACAATTTAATGAAAGTGCCACAAATAGATAGAAATCTATTGCTTTATACCTAATTGTATTTATTACATCTACATGAGTCATGGCCCCTTTTTGATGACCTAAAAGGTAAACAAAATCTAGAGCTTTATAAAAAAAAAAGTGCATCTTGATGATAAACAATATATTCTTCAAAAAATTAGGTTTAGAAACTTGGTATTTCAAAACAAAAAGCGAAAGTTAGGGTTTACTTTTTTTTTTTTACTTTAAAAATGATAGCCAAAAGTTAATTATGTGTGAACTTTTTCTTTCAAGAAATATCATTACTTGAGAATAATTAATGAGTAGTAGTCTTAATTTGTCTTTTTCTTCTTTTCTTGGAACTTGGAAGAAAAGCTTATGCAAGATTCTCTCCATATCCTTTTTTTTCTTAATTAGACATTTTAGATACAAAAAAATCTAACGATAAATTTTTTAAAAAGATAATAAAAGAAATTGAATGATAAAAAGAATTAATATACCAAGAAATCAACATAATTCAACGATTAATATATTATAAAAATAGACCTTATATATACCGTATATGATTATAAATGTCACATGCCACTCACTTCGCCATTGATCTTCGATTAAAGCTTTAAAAATGAAAAAAAAAATATCTTATGAAAAACTCTTTTTCTTAACTTTAGCCATGCAAATTTCAATTAGTCGAGATCCTATTACCCTAAAGCACAGAATAGAAATATAAAAAGATACAATTGAATTTTAATGGGACCTCTATCACTCCTCACAAGTTCAGGATTGCACATCAATGATTAGATTGGATAACCTATGAATGGTTGAGCCCCAACTTTTGGTGAAAAAAAAAACTATCTTACACAACCCAATGCAATGATATGTCCACTTTACACACAAAGATTTATATAAAATTAAAGTAATAGGAGAAAAAAAAAAGGTTGGGCATAATGTAGCAATCAAAGGATAGTAGGGTTGTTGAAAGAAATTTAGGTTAGAACATGGGCTAATATGATTGAGTTGTTATTGCCTAATAGAGTTAAATTATATTATAGGGCACCTCACATGCATGTGGAGTGGTTTGTTAATTATTCAGTTTTTTGCATGTGCCTCTCACCTATTTCCCTTTGCTCAAACCACTCTGTCTCTTGTCTACACCTACATATCAACATCATTTTAATTTGCTTTTCCATTCATATCTCCTCTCCTCGTGCTCGATTTTTATATTTGTATCTTCTCTTCTAGTGTTCGATATCTATATTAAAATTTGATTATAGTTAATTTGCATCGAAAATATAAACTTTGTAACAAAAAGGAGACTCATTACTTGGGGGATTCGAATATGAGATCTCTAGTTAAGGATGAAGGAGTACTAATTACCACTTCGCCACAACCCTTATTGATCCCTTGATATTGTATTCCATTAGCATTTCGTCATAAATTTTTTGGATTTGATGATTTATCTTTAATTTATTTCGGTCAATCATGAAATTAGATAAGATTATTATACTGAAAATAATTGAAGTTTCTATGATCTTTTCTCACAAAACTACTATTTTTTTCTTTTAAAGAAAAAATATATATCCTAATATAACTTCAAATTACGAAAATTCAAATTTTCAAATTTCTACTTCATACGAGATATTCATTATTTCATCATTATCCAATGTCATAGGTTCTACTACTGTAGTGTATTTTTATTTATATTTATGTATGCACAAACTTGCTACATATGGTTATGATTTGTTAATTTCAAGTCATGTTTAACACAGTTACTTTCAGCGTCTAATAAATGATTTATATAAAATTCAAGAAAATTTATGAATATTTAAGGAGAGATTAAAAAAGTAATTTAATCAGTTAACCCTTATGATTAATGTTATTAAATAATTTTCGTAATATGTCTGCAATATTTTAAGGACATTCAAATAGACAGAAGAGAATATTAATGTTGTTGAACGGTCATCATCAAACGTTGTCATTTATTCTTTCTTAAAACAAAATATATAACCGTTCCCTTAAAAGTTTTAAGTCATATTTAAGATCACAAAAAAAAAATAAAAAATTATATACTATATATCTAACTTCTCAATTTATGATCATAAAATTATTATTTTAAATTTTTTTGTATACAGTCAAATTAAAACAAACACCAAAACAGGGAGTTTATACGTATTTCTTTTAGTGGAGTGGGGGTAGGGGGATTTTTTTAATTTTTTTAAAGAATGTCAATTGATATATAATTACGAGAAAAAAGAATAAAGATATCCTGAATCGGTATGCGCATACTCTCCGTTACACTTTTGGTACACTAGTGTATTTGTCATCCAAAAACTAGAACATATTACATATTTACCCTTACTCTAACGAAAACTTAATAGGGACACATCACATAATCTTAAACGCCGATTCGATATTTGATAAATATCGGCTCAATATATAAGATTATACCACGTGTATGTCCGTTAATATAAAGAATATATATGTTCTACTGTACAGATGGTGCAAGGACACAAATATCTCAAAAATACGACAGAAAATATCTGAATATTATTTACAATAGTTTGAAAATATATTCATCTTTTTCTCCTTATAATTAAACTATTAGGACCAAAGATTTGACCACAATTTTGCACATGTGGCATGCATAACCATAATATTGTAGAATAACTTAATAAGAATATAATTGAACCGTTTCTTATTACTAATAATAACAGTCAACACGTACGTACGCCAACTGCTTTTGCTACCTATTAATTTCTTGTTTAAATTAAGATAAGATCTAATTAACAATTACCTATTTTTAATTTAAGGCTTTGGTTTGACACCAAGTACAAATAAGGTTTGTTGGGTGACCATGGACCACAAATAATTTTTTTTCTCTTCACATTGTATTTTAATTAGGTTCTATATGTATTTCAATCAATATCATAAAAAATTGGGGAAATTAATTAAAGGTAGTTGTAAATGAAAGATGAAAATGAAAGTTTAATCCAATTAAATGAGTTGAACATTTCAACTATAATATTTGCATTGAAACGTAAGTTAAATTACATTTCCATAAGCACAAAAGATAATGAGTTATAGCGGATGTCGACATCTTTTTATTTTTAATTAAAGATTTCGAATTTGAATTTTTTTAAAAAAAAATCTCATTGGGCTCACCTCCATAAATGAGCTTTTTAATGTATAAATTTAAATTTAATCGAACGTAGAAAAAGAGAAAAAGATTTGAAATGTATCTGAATCATGATTGAAATTGTTGTAACAATACCAAACGTTCGAAATGACTTTATACCCTGTATTATTTAATAGTATATTATAAATGTATATATGTGTCTACATGAACATCATAACAATTGCATCATTATAGATAGTAATGTGTCTACGTGGGTATATATATATATATATATATATATATATATACACACCTTTAAAATACTCTATTAAATAGTGTATAGGGTAAAAGGTCCTTTGATATCGTAATAACACTTTCGATCAAAATTAGAATATTTTTCAAACCATTTTTGCTTAAAAACGTAAATATAAAAGATAATTATAATTTAAAGATATAGTAATATAAGGCACGGATGCAAGGGGAAATCACCATCAAATCTTTATTAGTTACATACATAATTTGTTGAGGTGACCTTTTTTCTAATTAAGAGAGTTTGATATTTTTTTCCCTAAATGTAAATTGATCTCTCTCTTTAAGGGTATTAGTCATTTTTAATTTACGTATGATAATTTTAGTATTCAGATCAGTTTATGAGCCCTCGATAGGTAATATCTTATATACTGTCAATGTATTTGTTAAATAATTATGTTTATCAAGTTTTAAAGTAATCAA